TTCCACAGGTTGACTATTTGCTTTGTGAAGAACAACTTTCTTTTATTAGTTTGAAGCCTGCTACCCATTCATTTCATTTGGTGTCCTCTAGTCCTTCTATTATGGGAACTAATGAAGATCTTTTCTTTATGCACCCCCTCCACACCACTCATGCTTTTATAGACCTCTATCATATCCCCCCTCAGTCGCCTCTTTTCTAAACTGAAAAGTCCCAGTCTCTTTAGCCTCTCTTCATATGAGACCTGTTCCAAACCCCTGATCATTTTAGTTGCCCTCCCCTCTCCCACCTCCGTTTGCCAGTCTCCCCGTTTTGTTCAATAAAGGGAGTTTCTATTTTTGAACACACGTGTCCTTTATTTTGTACATCAGGAAGGGGGCTAGGGAGGGGTAAGTGGAAGGAGGTGAGGGAGGAATGGGGTACGAGCCCCCGATGGGGAGGACTGGGGTGGCTCTAAGGGCTCCTCGGGGTGGATATTGTCCTGCAGCCTCCCGATTGCCCCCCCCCCAGATGGCAGCCGGCGGCAAGTGCAGCCGGGCTGATGGCCGAGTGCTGTGATGTGCCAAGTGTGGGCACTCAGGGCACTCCAAGCCAGGACTGCTTTGCAAGCGGGGCACCCCTGAGAACTGTCTGTCCAGGGTGGGGGTCGGGTCCCTTTAAGCACAGCCCTCGGCTAGCCTGAGACAGCATCTCCACGCTCTAAGTCCTAATCTGATGCCCTGCCGGCACTGCTTCCGGCCAGCCTTAACCCCGGTTCAGGGTCCACTCAATGTGGACATGCTAGTTCGAATTAGCAAAATGCTAATTTGAACTAGTTTTTAGGTCTAGATGCACTAGTTCAAATTAGCTTAGTTTGAATTAACTAATTCGAATTAAGTTAGTTCGAATTAGTGCTGTAGTGTAGACATACCCTGAGGTAGACTGCAATGTTTTTGCATTTTGTGTAGTTTTTTCCACTTTTTTTTTTTTGGAAAAGGCTTTTCCGCCATTTGGCAAATGGCAGAAAAGCCTCCTCTTTCAGGGGAGTCCTTATGCCTCGTGAAACAAGATAAACAGAGCACGTTTACTCTTCCGCGAAAAAAAGTGGACCTCTCATATCCCGCAAAACCCCCGTAGTCTAGATGTAGTCCCGACTGATTTTTTTTCTGTAGATCTGTTGAATTTCAAAACATTGCACCTGAACACAGATAACGGCCTTGAGTACCACCTACCAAAATACCGCTGTTGTGCCCGTCGCTTGTTGAACCTGGTTTCATCTGTAGATGTGGTACAGGCTGAATCAAATGACACCTACAAAAAGCTGGCCAGGTCCACTTTTGCCAAATGCCAAGCACTCTGGAATAAAACTGAACACTCAACTATTGGAGCAGAAATGGTGGAAGCAGAATGCAAGCTACAGTTCATTCGGCCAAACCAGACAAGATGGAACTCTGTATTCCGGGCAGTGGAGAGAATTCTGCGCATACTAAATGAACAAGGCGAAGGGACCATCAGAAATGTGTTTCCAACATTCAAAACCAATATGTAAGTAGTGGTTCTTTGCTTTATAGTTTTATTTTTGTTAAAAAAAACCCTGATAATTCTGTATTCAACTTAATTAACAATGTCTTTTAACTATTCTACAGGCTGAATCTAGCAGAGCTAGCCTTCTTGGCAAAATATGCCATGGTCTTGGATCCAGTGGCGAAGGCACTAAATATTCTCCAAGCAGAGTTCAGCGCACAAATGGGATGGCTGCTTCCTACACTATACCAGCTGGATTCAAAACTACAAAGACTCAAAATTCACACTTGTGAATGTGGGCAAAATAAATACATTTCTGTAATCTGACTCCTGTATTTAATTTGGTCACTCTTCAGCTTTATAAATTAAGGCTGTGACTACATTTAAATTCCAGCTTTGAAATATAAATGTATAGTATGTGTGTATATATTATATAAATGTATATAAAATATATATATATACTAGCAGAAATACCCGGCATTGCCTGGGGAAAATATAGTAAAAGGTGTGATGAATGAACTACGTCAATTACATTAACATAGCATATTTTACTGGAAATACTTTTCTCTTATATATTACTTTAAGAAATTAACATAGCTAGTGATGTGCTTACAAAACGACAAATCCCATAGGGTCTCTTTTATTAATCCCCACAAATCAGGAAGGCCCATCTGCCCTTAAAGACTCTGTGCAAACCAATGCCTGCAGCCTCCTTGCCAGAAGCCCTGAGAAATGGAGGGGATGTCTCCTGGGCTCTGCAGCAGCAGTAGGGTCTCTTTTATTAATCCCCACAAATCAGGAAGGCCCATCTGCCCTTAAAGACTCTGTGCAAACCAATGCCTGCAGCCTCCTTGCCAGAAGCCCTGTGGGGCAACCTGAATGGACTTCCTAGCGGCAGCTGGACCGGTTGCATTGATCAGACAAAGCGAAACACCTTCAGACCAGGTGCAATGAGTGATATCTAGATGATCAGAACATGCAGCACCTGACCGTACCTGTTCTAATGAGAATAGGCTGTTCTGAGTGTACCGTGTCCTCCTCAGGCTCCACGATGCTCAAAACCTCGTCCTCCTACCCACCTCCTCTTTGTACTGTGAGCTGAATCCTGCAAAGTGCATAATGCCTGTGGCACTTGCTGATACCGCACACAGCCCTGCCAGGAGAACGCAGGCAGCCCA